CTGAGTTAAAGGAAGAGTTCTTAGGGGATCAAAAATACTAATTATTCAGCATTGCTCAGATTACCAAGACCTCAGGCATTTAAAAAAGAGAACCAACACTAATCCAACGTTGCACTGGAAATCTGTCAAAATAATACAGGTGGGAATGACATGAAATTTTTTCTGTATTTTTTTTTTCACATTCCATGCTTTTGCTATTTTCAAGTTGACTTTTGCCTATTTAAAGAAACGGAGTAACAGGGAATGTGTTTTAGACTCAAATCTTTCAGACTGCACCTTCTCCTGGCACTCAGGTAATTGGAACTGAAATTACAAGACTGCTGAAAAAAACTGTTGGAGGATGCTTTAGAATATGTTCAAAAGGTGCATTTCTTCCAGACTTACCTGAATGAGGGCACCGCGTTTGAAATGGATTCCCATAAGTGTTTACATTAATACTAGTGTGTTTGAGATCTGATACAGCTAAAAGAAATACTTCCTTTTTAATTTTTTTAATAGAAGTGCCATACAAGATGAAAGGAGCCGTGATCGCCAGAGGTAACTGGCTAATTTTGTAATGGAAGAAGCTACTGACTCTCCAAGGTACAATGAAAAGTATTTTCAAGTGTTTCGTAGTATAAACACCATGCAGGATTTTATTGGAGCCTTAAAACCTGCAGTACTTAGTAGACAGTCTGTACCATGCAGATATGTGGGTTATATTTCCTTCTTTCTAGTCTTCTGAGAATACATCCAAGGGACAAAGCCTCAGGAAATACAGTTGTCCTTTTAAGCTTAAAGGGTAAATGGATGATCTTGTGATTAGAGCACAGTGTTCGGAGCTGCAGACATCGGCTCCGTTTGTGATTGTGCCAAAACACCATGCAGCCAAATTTTGCATTTCCAGGGTAATCGGGAGTTGGGTAATGCATATAATACAAGGATATAGGTAATATGTAAATGAGGCTGTACGGATCCTCTTTGAAAATGATCAGAGAAAGCCAAAACTTGAAGAGGAGGCTGCGGTATGAGCGGCGTGCCCTGCGTGACACGACGGTGGTGGGAACGGCCGTATCTCACCGTGCGGCCCAACGCGTTACAGCTCATGACGCTGGGTGCTGCCAGTGCAAATCTCGAAGGCTCTTTCTTGTGTCAGCCTGGGCTGGCTGGCTGGCTCACCTCCTGAGACTTCCCCTGCCCCTTCGCCAGGAGAAAGGCCGGCGTGCTGTCAAGCCCCCTTTTCATTTTTGCCTGGAGGTAATCCGTATATCAAGGTTGCTGCGAGGCTGCAGGTTCTGGAAAGCTCCCTACGTGTCAGCTGGGAGCATCTTGCGCTCGGTCCTGTGGCTTTCACTGAACCCAGGTGTTTCCATGGAGTGAGCGGTTTCCAGTTTTTGTCAGAAAGTTCTCAAACAGTGGTACTCGCAGCCCTCCCTCGTCATGTGCTCTGCTCTCTCCTGCACCTGAGGATGTGGGCCAGTGTCTCCTGCATGGGGTGCTCCTTTTTTTACATGCTCTTCTCTGCTGGCAGTCAAAACGGAAGCAAAAGGAAAAATAAAAAGAGCTGGGAAACGCAGGTGTTAATGCTGTGAAGCCTGTGGGTGCAAACAGGGTTCTGTTAAAAATGAAATGAAATTGGGTGGAGGTAGATAAAAAGAAATCTGAAATAATTGTTCTCTAGAATATGGCCTTTCCACATAGGCAGAAATCTTTCTCTTCACTTCTGTCTGAAGAGAGAGTCAAATAGAGAATCTCATCTCTTAATTAGAAAGAAAAATACTCATCAAACACATCTCATCACTGGAAAGCTAATGATCCACAGCTGCTAGTCTGAAAGGGCAGGCTTTTTTTCTGAACAGTAGGAAGTGTTAATCATTTTGGATGAGATTTCTTTTTAAAATATACTGTAGTTTGCAAAAGAATAGGATATTCAATATTCTAACTTAAATTATTTTTTGAAGTGTTGTACACCAGGGATAGTGTCGTGTGTCTCCCTGAATGATCATTTAATGCATGTGTCTCTCACTAAGAGTATCAACTGATGTGATGTTGTAAATGGCCAGTTCATGCCTGTGACTCTGAAAATCTTGATCTCATGGGGGAGAAGAAAAAGAGTCCTCCCTTATATTCTTCTGTGTAGGAAATGGCAGCTATATTAAACTGTAACCTTTGAGACTCCCACTCCTCCCTTAAAATAGTTGGCTTGTTTCAGTAGTGATGAGGATCCTTTTTTTAGACAGAGTTAGAGCCATTATTTCCTTGGAAGAGTTCATACCAGATACAGTCCATGTTCCACTGGATGCCTTATAGGCATGGGCAAGTCCCAGAACTGCCCTTTTATACTTGTTCCTGAGCTTTTCTGGATCCCCCCCCCCCCAACTTATTTAATGGATGGATACATAGGGTTTCCTCCCCTTTGTATGGGAAGTGAAGTTAAGGTTTCTACATACCCCTTCCCTTCTTCCCTCTCCCCCCAGCTATCAGGCCCTTTATGCCTAAGAACTGAGCCCCTGGGTTTTCTTGCTGTTCTGCACCAGGTTTTGGGTTTGCTCATGTTTACTTAAAAGTTTTGTCTAATACTGGGAATCTGCTTGTTTTCTCCCATGTGTGTTTCATGAGTGCATTCCTCTTCTGGGGAAGATAGTGAGACCATTTCACTTGCAGTGCCATCACTGTGCTGGTCTCGCACAGCGCACATCTCATTTGTGTTGCAAATACAGAGTCCCTGTTTTCCTAGCGCCTGGCTGAGACAGGTGCCTGAAAGGAGGAACTGGTTAAAATTCAGCCAGACTAGATGGAAATGAAGCTGGCAGGTCAGCGAAATCATCTACAGGAGATGGCGGGTGTAATATCCACATTTTTGAAAGATATGTCTATACAAGTTGTAAAGAGGTAATATCTTAATATAATATTTTAATGGCCTACAGAGTATAGTACTGTAGGGAATTAAGGATCATTTGGTACTTAGAAACCTCAAGGGAGGAGTGTTTGGATGGGAACTCATTGATGTTCTGGAGTACAGGGTACATGATGACCGTATTCCTTAGTCTCTGGTCAGGTCTGTGTCTCCTGAAACTGTCTAGTTTTCTGGCTTCTTTTCTCGGGAGCCGGGGATTGTTTGGGTATTACTTGATTTTCTTTCCGTCTTTCTAACCAAAGTTCAGATGGGACCATGAGAAAGACTGTATGCATTGCCATTTCTCAACAGGTTATCTCTAGTATTTGCTTTTCTGATAGCTGGGTGCTGTTCGTTGACTTCCAGAGCTCCCTTCAGCATGTATTCATTCACTCAGGGCATTTCTGGGCTTAAAGGGTGCAAGGATCTTTTGCTTTTCTCTTGAGATGCGAATTCTGTTGTAAGTTGGCTATATCAAATTGACTGCATCAAATCCCTATAGATCTTGCTCTCAGAAGGGTAGTTAGCAAGCTCATAGAAGAACTCTCAAATTCTGTGAGGTATTGTTTGCTTCTTATTCATTACCATTTCTAACAGATTTCCTTTTAAACTAAGCAACCTAAAAAAGACAGTTTTCTTTCAAATGAAATATTAACTGCTAGAAGTGCCAATATCCTCTTATGTATGTCACACACGCTGCTTTTTCAGTTCTGTCCCTATTTATCAAGTTTGTCTTGCAGTCTCACAGGACTTCCATATACATAGCATTCAGTGATAGGAAGTGGGGGGGTGAGGTAAGTTAGCTGATCTGGAGACAGCAGATTACTTAAAATACAGATTTTTTTTCTTTTATGTGGGAGCTTGTATTTGATAAGAGCATTTTGTTTTAACTCTAAACAAAAATCCAGCAGAAGACTACTTGGATGAAAAAGGCTTAGCAAGATTTCTGGGTGTATATCCGTCTGTGGTACATAGTGTGATTTGCTATAGTACTTTCATTTTTGGTTTTTGTCATATTAGAAGAAAACAAACCCAAGTTACGTCTAGAGCTGGCTAAAATAAGGGGGGATTTGTTCACAGGGAAAACTGGATGTAAAAATGGTTTTAGTTTGACCCCATCTAAGTCCGAATATTTTTAGTTCTTTCCTGCAAACCAATAATTTCGTACCAGCCCCAGTAGGGAACAGTACCTATCTGGATGTGTCCCTGCCAGACAGCTACGGGCTCTGACAAATGCTTAGGACTCCAGGCTTCAAAAACAGTCAGCTCTGTACCGCTTGATGGGTCTGAGGGTAAAGTCCAGCCTGTGACGCTTGTCAGAGCTCCGCGGCAGAGCTGTGGTGTACCGAGCTGGCAGTGGAGATGGGTTTCCCCTGGGGTGCGACCCCCGTGTGGCCACCAGTGCTGGAGAGCAGCCCCAGTGATCGAGGCGCGCTTCTCTGGGAGACGTAACCCGGCCACGCTTCTGCCAGCCTCCAGCCGTGGAGCACTCGAGGTGTTCTGAGGAAACTCTTCGACAAATCCAGGTTTTCAAAGGGGTGGACTTAGGTGGCTTCTCAGCATGCCTTTTAATCCCATTTTCAAAGAGTCTGTGGTCAGTACTGTTTTATTATGCTTTCATTAGAATAGTTGTACGTTTTTACCTTTTAGTGTGATTTTTTGCTAGTTTTCTGTGAAAAAGATTTTCATCAGATTTAGTTGTGATGTTTGCTTCTTCTGCTTGTTTGTGTGACATTACTACAAAATGATTAAGTTCTTTCTCCTAAACAGCAAATTAATGTTTATCCATGGAAATAACTAATCTTTTCTTTCTTAGATTGTGATCTTATTTTCATGCTATTTTGCATTAATTTGTCCACATAAGCATTATTTTACGAGAGAACAATTAATATTCCTCTTACACTACATCAATTTTCCTTTTGCAAGAACTAAGGTACGAAGCAATGGGAAGTGTAGCAGTTGTTTCATGCAGGTAAGTGGCTAGTCAGCAAAGTGGTTAAACAACTTCTCTGCCTAAGGAGAGGTGGGTTTCTTTAGAATTGTTTTAATTTATTGGTCTTAACTGTGCACAAGAGTTTAATGTAATGCTGATCTGAATCACTTTTTTTCCTGCTCTGTCTTCTAGCTTTTTCTTTTTGTGGTCTGGAACTTTGAGCTCTACATGATACCACTGGCTTTGTTGTTGCTGCTGGCATGGAACTACTTCTTGATCGTATCAGGGAAAGATAACAGGCAACATGATACGGTAAGGCTTCTCTACTTCAAGCGCATACATGTCCTTTTCTTTTTTTAACTAGATAACATTTTGTAACTGAGTTTAAATATGACATCTTTTTGAAAATGTCTCAGTTCACAATCCTCGATGGACAATTTTCCCACCTGCAATTTAATTTTTCTCCAGCTGTCCAATAAATGTGTCTGGTTTTGTTGAAAATGTCGTGTAAAAATACAGTAGAACATGTACTCTCCTCAGAATCTGGTTTATGTGGGAGCAGAGATGAGAGGCTTATTGGTCAGAATAAGGCAAATTCTTTGAAAATGGTTTTGTGTGGCTAAGTCCTTATGTTGTATTTTTTATTTCACATATTGAAGTTAAAGGTTAAAATCATTCCAATTTGTTAACAGTTTCAGAATGCATCACATTTTATTGTATTTCACATTTTATCATTAATGTGTTACCATTCATTGAGCTTAATATAAGCCTTTTCTTATTTTCTTCTCCTCATCTAATGCCACCATTTAGTTAAATGCATGTAGTTGGGATATAAAGTAGCAAACGTTTACTAATAACTGACATTAATAATAAAAGCATGGTTCAGATTTTCAGAAGTACATATCAAAAGTTGAAGTTGTATTCTATGCTGTGCAAATTTTCTAGTATCCAGGCAGCTTAAGGATTTTGCATGTATTTTATTGCTGAGCGTTATGAATCTGATATTTGTATCAGTATTCATATCCCAAAAGCAGTGTGCTGTCTAGGACATTATGATCTGGATGGATAACTGGATGGGTGGAAAAAAACCAAAACGGGTTAGATAATTGGTCTCAGAGGATAGTGGTTAATGGAGGTTGGTATCGAGTGGAGTACCACAGTGCACAAGGACATGTCCTGTTTAACATCTCTATCAATGACCTGTAGGAGGTGACAGAGTGCACTCCCATCAATTTTTTTTATTATACCAGGGGTGTGGGACCAGTTGATACCCTGGATCTGCCAGTCAAAGAGACCTAGTTAGGCTGGAGGAATGAGCCAATAGGAACCTCATGAAATTCAAGAAGGAAAAATGTGAATTCTTGCTCTTGGGGAGGAGTAACCCATGATACAGGCTGGGGATTGATTGCCTGGGGATAAGCTCTGCTGAATTGGGCCTGGGCATCTTGGAAGACAGCAAGGTAAACATGAGCCAGCAGTGTGCCCCAGCAGGAAAGAGCCCAGTACCCTGGGCTGCATTAACAGGAGCACAGCCAGTAGATCGAGGGAAGCGATTATCCCCTCTGCTTAGCACTTGTTAGGCTGCATCTAGAATAGTGTCCAGTTTTGGGCACCCCAGTTCAAGAAGGACGTTGATTAACTTGAGCGAGTTCAGTAGAGGGCCACCAAGATGGTGAGGGGGATTGAGCACTTGCCCTGTAAGGAGAAGCTGAGGGAAGTTAGGCTCAAAAGAGCCTGGAGAAGAGAAGGCTTCAGGTGACCTGAACAGCAGCCCTCCACTACCTACAAGGAGGTTATCAAGAACATGGAGCTAGACTCTTCACAGTGATGTGTGGTGGAAGAGACAACAGGCATAATTTGAAGCAACAGAGGTTCAGACTGGAGAACGCTTTTTGCCATGAGGATTGTTAAGCACTGGAAGAGATTGCCCAGGGAAATTGTGCAGTTGCTGTTGGAAGTTTTCAGGACCTGACTGGATAAAGCCTTGAGCAACCTGATCTGACCTCATGGCTGACCCTGTTTTGGGCAGGAGATTGGAGGTCCCTTCCAGCCTGAATGATCCCATGACCCTAATGTCTAGCAACTGCAATTATTAGTCACCAGAGGAATTGATACAGCCCTGATCCTGGCACTGGTATTACCTGTCTACGTCACTAAGACTGTTACGCTTCCAAGGGTCATCTAAAATTAAGGGTGGAATGATAGAGGTATTCCCTAATCCCAAAGGTTGTTACATTTATGGAAAAAGCCTAAGATCAAGATTTAAAAGATGCATTACTTAATCACAGCCCTTAGTCTCCTGCTGCCTGAAATGCTTAAAGCTTCTCAACCTAAGATTTTATGAGTAACTGAAATCCCTTGTGAAAGGAGAGATTTCACTTGTGAGCTGCAATACACTTCATTTCTCTCTGAAATACCACCTGCCTGTGAAGATTAATTGGGTCATGTAACTTTTCTAACAAAATAACGAAGCTATTGATGGGCGCTCTGTTGAGGACACCAAATGCTGCTCTAAAAATGTTCCTCTTGCTGAGATTGCTTCAAACCAAGATATATAGTTTATATCAACCAGTCCTGTTCTTCCCAAATATTCGCTATCTGTGCCGTTAATTACTATTTTTTGTTTAGGTTTTATCACAAGTAAGTTGGGACCTCATTTTTAATGAAGTGAGCTTGGTTATCATCATGGTGAGCATCTGTCTTCTATGAAGTGATCTGCAGACTTATTAGATGCCTTTCTAATTAACTCACAAATCTTCAGTAATATCACAAGTCCTTAGCTCAGGTCATTAGCACAGTATCATTAGATTAGGAGTCATTTAAATATTTCTGTTTTCCTATGCAGAGTGTAAATATTAACTAAATTAATTAAGCAGTGTTTCCTAGTGGCTAGAGAATGCTTCAGGATTCACATGATCTGGCTTCTGTTCCCAGGTCTCCAGAGATTCCTTGTGTGCCTCAGTGAAATCATTGACTACTTATCTTAGGAATATCGTCCATCTTTAGAAGTTACTTTGAAATCCTCAAGCTAATGCTAAGACAAAAAGATAAATCGATTTGTTAACTTTTCTTACTCAATTAACACTAAACAAGCGTAGTTAAAAATTGTATGCACTTTATACTTGTGTAATGTCTGTGGAAAATACTTACATTTGGGACCTTCAAAAGTAGCTCAGAAGAGTTAGTTTCCATTGCAATATCCCTACAAGAAACCAGTTATCAATTGTCTCATCAATTCAGTCATTAGGGACTGCACTCTTCAGCAGGTCAATGAAATAGCGATCACTAAGTTTCTGTCTGGATATGGCAGATGGACCAGCCTTAACTCATCCTTGTTTGACTGTCTCTATAGACAAGGTATCATTTGCTCTGTCCTCTTGGGCATCACTTTCTTTGAAGTAGTTCGGAACTTCTTTTCTTGTGGAATAATTCACCTGCCAAATGGTCTGGGCTGCTCCGTCATGAGCCTGCACTGCCTCATTTGAGTACGAGTATGATTATTTTGCCATTTACTCTGACTCCTAATAAGTTATATGTGCAAGTCCTTTCTTGATTTAAAAGTGCAATGAGGCTGGGGCAATGGGGAGCCCCAAGTGTATTTACGATTAGGAGATAAGTCTATTGGAAAGTCTGACAGAGAGGTGAAGCAGCGTATTAGGCGTTATTGCTTTCATGGATTCAGCTGGACTCTCTTTATAGGATTGATCATCATTGTGGTTTTAGTCGAACACTGGCACAAAATTCAAAGAGAAGCATTGGATTCCCTATCTTTTATACATTTAGATCAAGATTAGTTGTGTTTCTGAAAGATAAGCTGTCATGAAATACAAACTCTTGCATTAAATGTTGGTGTAAGCGGATGTAGATAGATGTAGATTTGGTGACCGGTTCTCTAAATGAATCTGTGAGAATTCAGAACTGATCTAAAATGAATGAACTTCTGGCATTGAGTCATGTGGCAGGTGTAAAAAAATCACAGAATAAATATTTCCTTCCAATATTAAGCAGGGAAAAAAATGACTAAAATGGCATTCTTAATGCTTTCCTCTGAATTTTGCAGTATCATTTTTGCCTGAAGCTTACCTAGCTGCTTTCTCCAAGGATCTTTGCACTTCCTTATGATCGTACTCCTAAATACCTGACCTCACGAAATAATTTATTTTTAGCACAACTGCCATTCTCATCTTAAACCATCACCAGCTAAACACACAAGACTAGAACTGAGTGGATCTTACTGCTTTTATTTTTTTTCCCCTGCCTTTTTTCCAGCATCTTTTTCACATCCTCTGATGGAGAGGAGAGGTTATCAATCGCTGCCGCTTTTTCTGTCCCCGCTGCCCCTTGTCACCTGTGCTGGATCCATGCAGTGGGGAGCAGCACGGGAGTGCTGCCCCTACACACTGCCAGCCCTGTGCCTACAGCAGGTACGGGGTAGCGGGAGCATGGCACGGTGACAGACCGCTCGGGATGCTCGGGGAGAACAAGGGTAGAGTGAAAGAAAAGGACTGGCTTATTTCATAGCAGCCTTGACTCTCTGGGAACCCCATATCACATCTTACAATAGAAGGACAAACAGAAAAGTTCATTCCACACAGCTGTAATTGAAAGACTTATAGAAACATCCCAACGAACAGAAAGTATGCTGGGGTTTAAAGCTTCTTTTCAGTCTTTTTAAGAAACTACTTAATATTTTGATGTTTTCAAATGTGTTGTACAAAAAACCCCTCACCTTATAGCTTGGAGAAAACAGCAGCACTGCTGTCTGGGGTCTTTTTTTCACTTCTGTTTCTAAGCAAAAGTCACAGTTATTACAACTGCATGCAGTTAGTGGGAAAAAAATATCTTTTTTTTTTTTTTCCTGCTTTTCTACTTCAGGCTGTGTTCTGACTGACTGCTGGAGCTGCCTAACTTAAGGAATGGTCAGATAATCCCTCAAAGTGATTAAAAATTTTCGCACTCTCCAGCTGCTCTGGTCCCCTTCCCTGACATGAAACATTTGATTGTGTGGTGGGAATGCATCGTATCGCGAATAAAACTTGGTTTGCATAGTTATCAGGTTTTTTTTTTCCCCTGTGTACGTCATCCTGACTACCACAATTAGGACAAACTGTGACAGTCTCTCAGCTGTTGGGCAATAACGCTTAACTGCTGTAACAGGCACATTGGATCTCCTCTGGTGACACTTGCAAGTTCCTGTTCTTCCTTGACTAAATAGGTAGCAGACAGGAAGCCCAGGTGGTCTTCTCCTTGATACTGACATTGAGGGAGAAGGCCTGGAAGAGGAGTGGACAGATCTGGCAGGTGAACAACCA